TTTTTTTTAGAGTGTAAGATTAATACAGAGCACAATCACATCGCTATGGAACTCATCCTATACACCTTTATTGTGTATAAGTCAATACATGAAATTTTAGATGCTCACACCTGTTTAATCTTTACAAAAAAATACCTTCACTTTCCAAAGGAGGATGATTTCATACTGTTCTTGGAAGTTGCAACAATTTTGTCACCGGCTGACTTGACACTCCCAGAATCGAGTTCCATCACCATCATCATCATCATCATCATCATCATCATCATCATCATCATCATCATCATCATCATCATCATCATATATATATATGTATGTATATATATATATATATATATATATATATATATATATATATATATATATATATATATATATATATATATATATATATATATATATATATATATATATATATATGTATATATATATATATGTATATATATATATATATATATATATATATATATATATATATATATATATATATATATATATATGTATATATATATGTATATATATATATATATATATATATATATTTATATATATATATTTATATATATGCTTTTAGTAATATTACTAAAGATATAACCGTTTCACTGTCACAGAAACTCCAGGCTACTATCACTTTGATTACTGATGAAGCAAGTCATTCATTAATGTAACCATTATTGCAAAATTTCAATTTGTTCATAAAGTTCAGAAAAAATTTCTTCCTTAAACTTTATTTTTCTTTTCGCATCCAATTCAATACACAGCAAGTTAAATGAAAATAACCTTTCTTGACCAATTACGGTTTTCTTGACCAGTTATGGTTTTTTGTTTGTCTTTTACTATCTTAAAGTAAGCAAATGAATATTCTCCATTAAAGTTAATTACCATTAATATTATTAGTTTCTCTACACTGATTGTATACATGCGCTTTTAAAAAGGTTCTGACGATAACATCAGTACAATCTTCCTTCAGAAACCTTGTTTGTATTTGTTAAAGTATTTTATTTATTACGACAAAAATGTAAACTTTCATTTAAATTTTTTGTAAATGATTTTATTCAAAATTAGTTTAAATTAAAAATTTTAATATTACATGCAATCAAATTTCGAATGTTTGTAAATATAAACATTCAATTAAATGTTTGTAAGTCAAAATGTTAAGCGTCAGTTTCTCATTTTCTTTGTTTATATTTGTGAAGCTTCATCAGCTCGGGGTCTCTCCTCAGCCCGGGGCTTTAAGCAATAGCTTAGATGGCATATGCCTTAATCCGTGTCAATGCAGGGCTTATATTTGCATTGACACAGATTAAGGCATATGCCATCTAAGCATGTTTTTTTATATTAATTTACCTCCCCAAAGCCGAGGATACCACTACAGGAGAAGGCTACTTTAATTGTATTTACAACCCTATCTCAAATCTATAACTCCGAAACATGAAATTGACGAACAAGGCCGTTGCACGAAAAAACAAGCTGAGCACGGTACTACCAGGAACGTGGTGGGGACCGAAATCTCAACCACTACACCACTACCACATTTTAACAGTGTTATTAATAACTTTTTATTAACTTAAATCATCACCTGCTTATAAATCTAATGGAATGTTCTAGGTTTGTAAGCAAGTTTTATAAGCAGTTGGCACTTCCGTTAGGATAAAGCGTTGTTTTCAAAATCCATAACCTAAACATTATTTTTCGTGACTTACTATTTGCGTTTTTTAAAGGCCCATATGTGTTTTGTATCATTTACCCATAGCCTATTCATTGTGATCCAAAGTGCATTCATTAAATGTCAAATATAGTGATTTTTTCCAAGGCGTTCAAAATCATTTATTAAGAAGGTGGCACAAAGATGCGTTGCTGGATGCTATTGCAAAACTAAAAAAGATGCATCTTCTATAAAATAAATAAATCTATATGCAATAAAGTTGTAGAGAAAAGAGGCTTTTGCCAATCTAATCATACATAATCTTTTGTAGCACACACATTTTTCTTTTTTAGGGCAAGTCGAATGACAATGGAAATGTCTATAATCTTTTTCAGTTTACAGTAAAATTTGATGACAATGTTATAAACACATCTACAGACTTTTTCTAGCAACGCTATGCAGATTTTATTCTGAAATTATGACAAAACTTAATAATACTGAATTTAAAAGCAGTGTGTCTGTCATCAGTCGTTTGTATGTATGATAATTTACATAAACTAGTCGTTAATTGGTTAACATTTTAGAGTGTCCACAAAAATCACAAAACATTAAAAAGAATATACAGTTTATTAATTTGTAGTCAAGATTCACAGTGGAGCGTTTCTTTAGTACTCTGCAATGCTTAAAAAAGCTGAATTCGCTTAACCATGAAAATGCTTTTCAGAATTACTTTTGTAGGACGTTTATTGCGGTGTTGTGAACGCCAACAAGACTAATATTTCCATATTTTATTATAATAAGTTTACAACAAAATGTTTGGCAAACAGTGTTATTAACTATTTTAAAAACGTAGTAAAAAAATAGTAATTTTATTCGGTTAACGTTTAACCAGTTTTAATTAAAGCTAATAAAAATAATAAAATATAAAACGCGTTTAAAAAACTACATTGAATTGGAGCTAAATACGCTAACTGTTAACTTGGAAAATGGGGATTTTATTAATTAGGTTTAACCTCACTTAAATCTTCTTAAATTTTTCGTATAAACTTTAAATTATTATCTAAGTTGTTCTGATTTGAAAAAAGGCCTTGAAAAATTTCTAATTAAGGCTAGTCATCGGCTAGCTACTTTTGGTTGGTGCCACTAATGGTCCACTAAGTAACCAATGAGCAAAGCTCAATTGACAATGGACCACTACAGTGGACCACCTAAAATGTCTATAAAGTTCAACTGATATTCCGCTATAGAATTTTTGTTAGGAATTGTTATACTTCATCACTCAAAGCTGCTTCGTGCACGCAAGAAATTGTGCAAAGTTTTTCAGTTCAATGCAAACCGAAGTCAAGGTAGAAGTTGTGAACAAAAATTAAATTATTTTATTATTGGAATTTTATTGAAATTAGCTTCTTTAGTAATCAAGGTTGGTAGCAATGGTTAATAGCAACAAAAAAATCAAAAAAAAAAAAATTTACTGTTGAAAATCGCATCAATGCTGCAGGTAATTTATCTTGCGTCATGCAATGTCTGTGTTATTTTCTATAATCTTCCATCAAAATTTTACAGACTGCAATACTAACATTTTACTTAATTTCACTAACTCTCATTTTCAATTATTTGGTTCGCTAAGACAAACTAATTGAAAATGAGACAAACAATACACCATGTAACACATACTAACACCACGGCAACCTAATAAAAGAGTTCAAAAATTTATCAAAATCTTTTTAGTGCAAAAATTATAGTTCAGAATTTATCTTGTTTTTAAATATTTTAAACTAAAAGCTGAGATTTTTTTTTAATTTTTATTATTTCTTGCCAAATTAGGTGAGCTTATTGGGCTGGAGTCAGCGTCGAACCAAGAGGTCCAAGGTTCGACGCTGACTCCAGTCCAATAAGCGATGTTGGTAAGGAAGGAGGCGTGAACTTCCTAGTTAAATTCTCTTTCACGGTGCTAGTGATAAGACGGTAAGTGATGTGATAAGACGGTAAGTGATGTGATAAGACGGTAAGTGATGTGATAAGACTGTAAGTGATGTGATAAGACGGTAAGTGATGTGATAAGACGGTAAAGACTTCCGGGAGTACTTTAATAATCACAAAAATAAATAAATAATTGAACATTGTTGATAATAATTAAAAAAATCAAAAGCAGTCTTTTAAACATTTTTTCGGTGAGTAATCAAAACGGCCATAGTTACAGGACTTTTAATTTTTTTTTATTATTATTAATAATGTTCATTTATTTATTTATTTTTGTGGTTATAAAGGTGCTCCCTGAAGTCCTTACCGTCTTATCACATAGCACCGCGAAAGAGAATTTAACTAGGAAGTTCACGCCTCTATCCTTACCAACATCTCTTATTGGGCTGGAGCCAGCGTCAAACTTTGTACATTGTAAAGTTGTTTGACTTTTCAAATGTTTGCCACTTAGATTAGTGTGGGGGAAAGTTACCCCCAAGAATTAAAAAATGTTTTTTGAAAACTCATTAGAAACTATTACAAAAGCTTTGCAAGTAATCGTTTGTTCCGTGTCTGGATCAGTGCCGGATCAAGGGTGGAGGAGGGCTATAGCCCCAGGTCCCGCAAATTTAGGGGCCCCAAAAAATTTTGGAGGACCTTTTTTATTTTTTTTAAAGTCATTTTTAGGCTCTGGCCCATAAAAAGACCTCCAAAAAAAAAAATAGCCCCGGGCCCTAAGAAGTCTTAATCCGCCACTGGTTTGGATACAGTTTATTAAGATATCCAAGTAATTTTTCACTGGACCACTGAGGATTAACATACCTTTGCGAGGAAAAAAATTGTTTTATCATTAATTTCTAAAAGATCTTGTAGATTAATATCCTATTTTTTAGTAAATTTTTTTCTGTAAATAATATTCAATCCAATATAAACCATTTAAAAGAAAAAAATATTGTAGAATAAGTTTTAAGGTTTTTGTCAGACGTTTGAAACGTTTGAAACAACCATATTTTGCCCAATATTAGGCCGCTTTCAGGAAAAACTCAAAATATAAGTATGTTCATTGGTGTGATTTATATTTTATATATTTTTGGAAATTGAACTTCAACCTTGGTTTAAAAAGTGATCATTTATATAAAAATATTAAAAAAAACAAAACCTTAATTCGTTTTGATAAATTGTTGAGTCCCCACTGTCATATCTGAAACACGAAAAAATTATTCCGTTGGGACTGCAATAGGAATGGGGTATTCTGAGTCTATTGGGGTATTATGAGTCTATGAGAATAGTGTTATATTTTATTTATGTAACATATTTATAACATAATTATTATGTAATAATTAGTCACAAAATAGTTCTCGCAGTGGGCGATAAAATGTTGTTTTTTTTTATTATTTTATTTCCTTGAATACGCCGCTCAAGGCGCGATCGAAAAGGGATACTTATCAATAGTTACTTTAAATAATTCGTCTAAAGCAGGATGAGCTAATGAATGGGCCAAATCGAACGAGACTCGTCTTAATATGTTTATCAAAGAAATATTTTTGTAACAACGCGTTTCTGAAATAACTTGATAAAAATCATTTTAATACGATTAATACAACCTTAAAAAACAAAATGGCAACAGACACTAAAACAAGTTCTGTTAAAAAGCCAACTAAGAAAAAACCAATTTTAATTAATAAGCTAGAGCTATCTAATGAAACTATCCACATGGCACTTTTTATTCCTCACGAGGAAGCTATTATAACAGTATCTTCTGACAAGTAATACTAAATAAAATAACTATAATGCATTATTAAGCTAATTAAGTAATTTGTCAAGTTAATTTATTATTGTATTATTTTATTTTGCCTTATTTATCCTTTTTATTGATCATTGAGTAAAATATTATTGTTTATTAGTATCTTGAATTGCATTTTTTTTATAGAACTGTTCGTGTTTGGATTCAGAGAGATAATGGTCAGTTTTGGCCAAGCATATGTCATTATATGCAAGGTATTATAAATGTTAATTAATATTTTTATTAATTAAAAGGTAGAATAATAATTTTACTTAATATTGTGTCTTTCAATTTTGCATATATATACTAAGTATATATATGCAAGATTTAGTATGAATATGAAGTATATTGATATTTTGCATAATATATACGTATAATTTTGCATTTATATACTTCATAGGATAATAATTTTAAGTGAAAAATTACTTTAAAAAAAAAAGCTGTGTAAATGAAATTTTCAAGCATATTCAATTCGTTTTATATTAGTATGTAGAAATACTTCTTCAGAGATCATTGAACATTATCAAACATAATATGATTTTAAACTAACTGATGTGAACACAGAAAAAAACCAGCATAACAAAAAAAAAGATAATTGAGTGTATATAAACTGGATAACAAGTTATACTTAAAGCAAAAATATAAGACAGTATAAATAAAATTTTGTTAAATGAAAGAGATTCAACAAGGTCAAGTAAAGGTCAGTTTAAGTCTGTTTAGGTATTTCAATAAATTCTATTATCAAGTCAATTATTAAAACTGGTATAGATTATAACCACTTTTTTCTTTTAAATTAATTTTAATTTTATTTGCTATTTTAAATTTAAGTTACTGAATTAAAAAAGTAAACATTTTTTTAATTCATTAACTTTTATCCTTTAAAAAAATATATTAATTATCTTTATATTTCAAAATACTCAAAAAAATATATGTACCTACAAGCTGAATAAAATTATATAACCTGAACAATGGTTTTCAGACTATTAGTTGTTAGTTCATTTTAATCACGAGTCATGATGAATTTTTAAATTGCATTTGACAAAATGTTGTTGTTTTTAGGAGAATACTATGTATGTAGATACACCAATTACCTACTGTTAAACATGAAAGAATAAATGTCATGGTTTGGGGGTGTTTTAGTCGTATATTATGGACCAGGAAATAGAACATAAGTACATACATAGCATAAGGTATTATGGACCAGGGAGTACAACAGCTGGCAACTAGTTAGTTGAAAACTAACCAACAAAACACCAAATACTATCTGTCTTATTAAGACTATTTTAATCAATAGTTGTAATTTTTTAAACCCTATCAAAAATTTCTGCTTTTTTAAAATGAATATGATTCAAAATTTTGGTTAAATTTTAATGCATCATTAAATTTTATGATTTTTCAATTTTTTTCAATTTTGAATTGATATATAATGAAATCTCAATATCTTGAACCTCGGATAACTCGAACTTCCAGTAACTTGACCTACTTTTGAGTTACCCTTAAACCCTCACTAATACTTTCACATAAAAACAACTCGATAACTTGAACACCTGTTAGCTCGAACATTCACAAAATTGAACCATTTAATCTGTTCCTATGCTAATGTTTTTCTGATAACTCAAACTTTAGAAGAAAAAAAATATAAAAAAGCCACAATGATCAGGCTTGGTCGGGAAGCGGGAGCGATCGCTCTCGATTGCTGACCATGTAAATAATATTTAGTTGCGAAAAGCTGGCCAGATTTTTTAGCCATTTTGAGAACATTTTAAAAAGCAAAAAAGAAGCGACAAAGATTAATTGGACCGATGAGAGACAATTACAAAAAAAAAAAATAAAATAAAATAAGCAAATAAAATATCTTTAAACGCGAAAAAACTTAAAGCTAAAAAAATTACATTTAGAACAAATATTTTCGAAACATCGCTCTTTTACAATTTTTTTTATAAAATTAAGCGATGTTTTTTATATAAATTAACAACTTACGATTGTTTAAAAAGGAAACAAATATTCTTTATTTAACTAAGTTTGCAAGTTTTAGTTTTACTTAAGCTAAATTATTTTATAAATAAAAAAATTAATTTTTTTAATACCTATTTTATGTTTCGCCTAGTTTGAAAAGTTTAACATATTCTTTTATTTTATATTAAATTTTAGCGATTCTTCTGAGTAAGATAAACAAAAATAAAATTACTTTAAAATACTTAAAAATACTTAACGAACAGGAAGCAAAACTGCTTCACAATATCGCTGATAATGTTTAGTGAGTGGGCTTTTTAATTTTAATTAGTATTTAAACCAGAAAAAAGTGTAATGAGTTTTAAGAATGGCAACTTAAGCAAAAATAATAAGAGTTAGTAAACCAATATCTAGAAACTTTTCTTTATATCTAATTATTTGTTATATATATTTGTGTTCTGTCGTGACCTCAATGCTTATTCATCCGCGAGTTACTTTGTATGCGTTGTTTGTGTTTAGTAACCAGAAACTTCTTATATGTTTGTTACATAATTAGTTTTATTAACTTTAACGATTATAACTTCATTGAAAACCAACTATTTTTGTAAGTCTTTGTTTAAATCATGAAAATTGCTTTAAAAGATACATTACGATAAAAAACAAATACACAAAATTACATTTCTATAAAGAATACAATCTCTTTTAAAATAAAAAATAAGAATATACTAATAAAATCTATGATTTATAATAAACTTTTAAAATTTTAACAATTTAATTAATATATATATAAAACATTTATTTTCGTAAACAAATAATATATTCTTAAAACAATGCCAGAAATCTCAAAACGTAACAAATTGTGAATAATACAATTTCTAAAACATTTTAACAAAATAATCTAGAAATTTATTTCGCTTAATCAGCATATTTTTTGAACCAATAGAATTAGTTTGTTCGTTAATTTGGCAGGTTTTTAGAGTTCGCAAACATTCTTTTTATTCTTTTGCACAAAGATGTTTTGAGAACATTCAAGTTTTTTATGTTTCCATGTATGTCTATAAAACAAAAATTTTTTGTTTCGCACATAAACCTAAATGTTCTCAAAACAACTAAAAAACCTGGCCAGTTTTACGCAACTTAATATAATTTCCGTGGTCAGTATTCGAGAGCGATCACTCCCGCTTCCGGACCAAGCCTGAATGATGGCCTTGCATTGCAATGTAAATGATAATAATAGTTTGATAGTTTAGTTTATAGTATAATTTATACTAACGTGCGTTTTAATATTATAATTAAATTTGTTGTGCTTACATATTATTATGGCTACTGAAAAGAGAAAAATGAACACAAAATCAATTAAAGAAAGTACGCTGCTTTCCAAGGAAAATTGGAGAAGGATTGTCAAAGTCTCAGGTTACTATAAAATATGGATTCCAAAAAAATATGCTGTCGACATGGGTCAAAAATAAAGAAAAATTTTTCAAATGTATAAAGACGCAAAGGTACAAGTCAAAATATTTGAGAATTAAAGAAGGAGCATTTTCAAATTTAGATAATCTTGTTTTTAAATGGCTTTTAAATGTAAGGAGAAGAAACGTGGTAGTACCAGTAACAATTCTTATAATAAAAGCCTGGGAACTTGCCGAAAAAGTTAATACAAATGGATTTCAAGCATCCAACGGTCGGCTTGATCGTTGGAAAAACAGGTATAATGTTTCTTTTAAGATGATATGTGAAGAGGGTAACTTTTGTACAGTTGAAATGACCATGCCATGGAAGGAAACAAGTCTACCTACAATTTTATCAAGGTATAAACTTGATGAAATTTATAATGCAGATAAATTTATAACGCATGATGTTTTTTCGTATGCAACCTAATAAGTCACTAAATCTTCCATCTGAGGTGTGTATAGGCCGAAAGCACAGTAAAATTAGTCTTACAGGGATGGTCGCAGCAAGTGCAGCAGGTGATAAAGTTTCTATGTTTGTAATATGAAAATCAAAATCGCCTCGCTGCTTCAAAGGAGTTAAGAACTTATCTTGCAGATACAGAAATCAAAATAAAAGCTGGATGGATAGCGTACTGTTCAAAGAGTGGATACAAGAAATGGATACTAAGTTTACAAAAGAAAATAAGAAAGTATCGTTCATAATAGATAACTGCCCAACACACTGGCAGGTGATATTCTAAAATCTATTGAGCTCATTTTTTGACCACCGAATACCACATCTAAGCTTCAACCAATGGATCAGGGAGTTATATGCTCTTTGAAAGTTTATTAAAGATCTTTGGCATTGCAAATACTGGTGGTAGATATCAATAAAAGAAAAGATCTTGTTTCTTTGATTTTAGATGTATGAAAATACTTGGTCTTGCATGGCAAAAAGTTAAAACCTCTACCCTCCTTAATTGTTTTGCAAAAGCAGGAATTTCCGAAGATCAGCTGAAATTTGTCCATTCTAATGAAGACGACAACCCTCTTTAAACGACGACTTTAAAAGACGACAACCCTCTTTAGGTTCATAATCAGATAGAAAAACTTGATAATTTTTACCCTCCAGGTACAACAGCTAATGATGTTATTTTTGCTGATGAAAACTTAATTAGCACAGTACCTTTACTTATAGGTGAACAATTGATAGAAGTTAAAAATTTTAAAAGTGAACATGATGCTAATGACAAGGTAGATAATGATGATGATAATACAATCGATCCAGTTTGCCCAAAGGTTAGTGATATTCAGGAGGCAAGTGTTGTATGACTCAAGGTGCAAGTGTTGTATGACTATATGCCATTCAGTTTTACAGGTGAAAATTTTCAACAAAAGCTCAATACAGTCTAAATTATATTCGATAGAGATGTTTCTTTAAAACTAAGACAGAGTGACATTTTTTAATTTATAATGTATTGTTTTTACCTTTGAGATTAAAACTTTTGATAATTCAAATTGCTTTTACTTATTAGCAAAAGTTTGTGTAATAAAATGTCCTGATAACTCGAACATTTACTAACTCAAACTATTATCTAGGTCCTTTGGAGGTTCAAGATATTGGGAGTTCACTGTAATATAAAGCACATGTGGTAAAAAATTCTAAACCTCAAGATATTTAAGGACTTCTAAACCTCAAGATATTTAAGGACTGAAATAGAAAAATTGCATTCATAATGTATATCTTGTATATAGTGTTCTTTATTTAAATTTTAGAAGTTGGTCTTTGTCTGGACTTCAATAAGGAAAGTGGGAAAGTTTTTATTGGTCAAACAAAAGGAATGATACAGGTTTTATATATTTATAATATTACTTAATCTTTTTTAAAATAATTTTTTAAATATACATATTCAGGCCTTATTAAGAAGCGTTCCCCTATTTGAATTTTACGTACGTATTCCTGATTTTGCGTACGCGTTTTGCAATTTACGCAAAAACTTTTTTCAATGAGTTTATTTTAAACAGTCTTTTAAAACAGATTATGCGGAAAACATTAAACTGTAATTAATTGTTGTAAAAAACATTTGTGGAACATTTTTTTTAATTAGATAAAAAAACAGATAGATATCCTTTTTCTATTTTCCGTTTTTTTAAAAAATATGTTTTTAGTTTACTTTATTAAATTTTAATTAATTTTATTATTATTCATAGTTTTATTAATTTATTAGAATAGATTTAATTAAAATTCTTTTAAAAATTTCAAAACGCTCCGTTTTACAATTTTTTTTTACTGATAAAATTTCCAAAATTTATGTTAAAGTAAATAAAAATTTAATAAATTTAATTCAAGTTACTTTAAAATGTTCGCATCACAAGTTATTTAACTGATATAAAATGAAATTATTACAATCTAAATTATAGCATAATAATTTTTAATTTATGTAATAAATTATATATTTTATATATTAATTACTTTAATATATTATTCACTTTTATTGTGAAATTTTTAATTGTTGTAATAATTTTTAAAATGCCTGCATTCTATTACAATCAGAAAATATAAAACATTTTTTATAAGTAGTAAAAACTTTTATAGCTCTTTGTCTTTTTTTTTTTATTAATGTTGTTAATAAATAAATGAATAGCTAGTGTAAAAACCCAAAGCCAACCCTTGTCTAAAAAATTTTTTAATTGACACAATAATGACACTTGCTATGTATATATTCTTGTAACATTAACGTTACAAACATATTCTTGTAACAAGTATAAAACCAAATTTTGTATTCAATAAGCAATTTTTTTAATGAATAAACAGATAGCTCGTGCAAAAACCAAAGGTTCCTGTTAGAAGCTGTTTGGAAGAGCAGCTTACATGGCTCGCTATGTTTGTTTTAGGAGAGCTTTTCTCTGCTCTTGCACTCATTTACTCCTGCGGAGGCCTATTTTATATATGTGTACTGCAAAGAGGTATAGGGGTGTCAAAAAAAAAAAATTTTTTTTGGACACCCTCATACCCCTTTGCGGTAATAAGGGAGGGCGTTGCGTTAGTATAAAATTTTTTGTATGTAATTATTATTTTTTAACAAATTATCTCTCATTTAAATATTGTTTTGTAATTTTCTTGTTTGGCAGAGTTAAAAATAGCGTAAGTTACTGTTATAATTTACAGCTTGATCTATATTTTAAAGTTTGAATTACAGTTGCAGTATAGTAGGCAAGTAACATATTTAATACTATTAAGATGAATTACTTTTAGTAATTGTTTTTACTTAACATGATAAACTAAAAAAAAGTAAATAAACAACCAAAAAAAAATCGCAAAAATATATATATATGTATATATATATATATATATATATATATATATATATATATATATATATATATATATATATATATATATATATATATATATATATATGTATATATATATATATATGTATATATATATATATATATATATGTATATATATATATATATATATATATATATATATATATACATATATATATACATATATATATATATATGTATATATATATATATGTATATATATATATATATATATATATATATATATATATATATATATATATATATATATATATATATATATATATATATATATATATATATACACTCTTTCATAGTCCTTTTTAGGTTTTTATCATTAAATGTCAGTTTTAGATTATTTTTTTTTAAGTTACTTTAAAGACCGGAAAAAATTTAAAAACTTTTTTTAAAAACTTTTTTTTTTTTACTATTTGATAGACTGCCTGTCCTAACCACATCCTCAGTCAATATTGCGGCACTCCGTTGCGAGTCAGGTTATAAGATAGTCAATGTAGCAGCAAGCTATAAGGTAGTCGATGTAGTTACACATAGTTGTACACGGATGTAGTTAGTACATATTAATGCGTAATACATTAGTATATTAGTAATATGTAATACATTAGTAATTCGTAGTTGTACACAGATAAAGTTAGCATGTTTTACAGTAAAAAAAATAAAAACATTCAGAATTTTTTTATTTTTAAAAATAAAATAAAAACATTCAGAATTTTTTTATTTTTAAAAATAAAATAAAAACATTCAGAATTTTTTTATTTTTAAAAAATAAAAATAAAAACATTCAGAATATTTTAAAAAGCATTGTAGTCTTTTAATTTGCGTTTTTGTGGTTTTTTAATCCTAATTTCCTTAATTAAATTAATGCATTTTGTTATAATCTAACTTTAATTTTGTCAATTTAAATACCACAGACAGTCGAAGAGCTATTTTTTTTTTTTTACCACAAACTGTATATTTAAGCCTTTTACTATAAGGGTGTGTGTGTATATATATATATATATATAATATATATATATATATATATATATGTGTGTGTGTGTATATATATATATATATATATATATATATATATATATATATATATATATATATATATATATATATATATATATATATATACATATATAGGCCTTGTGATGAATAAAACCTGTGCGACGCATAAGCACAACGTGATTTTTGACGTCATTAAATTCTTTTTATTTGCTTTTCATATTTATCGACATTAACTGCACCAATTTACTTAATTACCGCAAAACTACTTTAAATCATTAATGTAGAAATGTTATTATTTAAAATGTTTTGGAATGTTTCGTTTTTTAAATTGTAAAAACATTTGTTTATTTTCTCGACGTTTGACACGTTTTGTCTTTACTAAAGGAATAAAAAACATTATAACTAAACATTTAAAAAAGATTATAAAATATGCTAATATTTGATTTTTTTTTTCTCAAATATGTAATTTAAAGTTTTTCAAATAATTATTTTTCCTTTTTAAAAAGTCAGCAAGTAATAAACTGGAAATTTTAATATTGTGCGATTAAAAACTGTGCAATAGCTATTATTTTTACTAGCGATTTTATATAATATTTTATTTATTTTTATTTATTTTCATAAAGTGGTTGATAAACACAATCACTCGTATTACTAAAAAACTTTAACGAACGTTTTGAATAAATTTTTAATGTTTACAAGGAATTTTATTTTTGGTAAAATAAAATAAAATGTTAGAATAAAAATCTTATAGGTATAAAAAACATATTTCAGCGAAAAAAAATTTCTTAAAAATTATTCGAAAATCTATTGAGGTTCTATTTTTCAGAGCTGTTCTTGAGCACGCTTCGTTGAGTTTCGGTAACTTTTAACAAAAAAGCGATTGTTATTATTTAAGTAATTTTTTTTGAGTTACTTTTTACAAAAATTTTAATAGCTGTACTTTTTTATTGAATCAAGTAGAATACGTTTTAATATTAATCCTTTTATTTTTTTTTATTTGCGCTTACCAATTTTTAAAATGTTTCCTCGAAATTACTCTTAAATACTTTAAATATGTCTAACAGTTAATAAATATTTTTAAATCTATGGAATAATTTTAAAACCTAATAAACCCCCGTAAAATAATTATTTAAGTTAAAAATCTAAAACTAAAAGAAAGCATTTTTGTTCAATTTTATCGACAACTTTGCTATTGCTGAATAATTTTATTAAAATGTTAGCTTAAAAAGATTTAAACTTTTTTTTCAATCTGAATTTTTTCTACTTGTAAATAATGAGCATATTTAATTTTTTTGTAATTCAAACTTTTATATCAACTGCGTGCGGTTTTTAAAATACTTTATTAAATGTTAAAATAATTGTAAATTACTTCATTAAAATTCCACTCAAAAATATCTTTAAATATACTCAAACAAAAATTTTTTTTCTCCACGCAAATAGCCCTAGCTATGCCCAAAATCGCTGAAATTGCAAAAATCGCAAAAATCGCAAAAATTATTAGAAAATCACTTAACAAAATTTTTTTTCATTTTACACTGTGTTTCATCAATAAAGACTCATCATAAATGAATGCATTCATTTCTGATGAGTCTTTATGAAGAAACACATTGTAAAATGAAAAAAAAATTTAAGTGATTTTCTACTAATTTATAATTGCTCTGTTCTTTTAAGAACATTGAACACTCTATTTTGTAGAATACATTTTAAAAAATTGTTTAAACACACACACATATATATATATATATATATATATATATATATATATATATATATATATATAATATATATATATATATATATATATATATATATATATATATATCAGATATATATATACACACAGATATATATATACACACAGATATATATATATATATATATATATATATATATATATATATATATATATATATATATATATATATATATATATATATATATATATATATATATATATATATACAGGCCTTGTGATAAAGCGTCGGGCGATGTGAATTTTACGTCGTCCAAGAACGATTTTGCGTGTAGCTAGGGCTATTTGCGTTGAACAAAAGAATTTTTGTTTGAGTATATTTAAAGATATTTTTGAGCGGAATTTTAATGAAGTAAGTTACGATTATTTTAACATTTAATAAAGTATTTTAAAAACCGCATAAAAAATATATAAAAGTTTGAATTACAAAAAAATTAATATGCTCCTAATTTACAAGTAGAAAAAATTCAGATTAAAAAAAAGTTGAAATCTTTTTAAGCTAACATTTTAATAAAATTATTCAGCAATAGCAGGCTTGGTCAAGAAGCGGGAGCGATCGCTCTCGAATACTGACCACGGAAATTATATTTAGTTGCGTAAAACTGGTCAGGTTTTTTAGTCGTTTTGAGAACATTTAAGTTTATGTACGAAACAAAAAATTTTTGTTTTACGGACATACATGGAAACATAACAAACTTGAATGTTTCAAAACATCTTTGTGCGAAAGAATAAAAAGAATGTTTGCAAACACT